AGAGAGAGAGAGAGAGAGAGAGAGAGAGAGAGAGAGAGAGAGAGAGAGAGAGAGAGAGAGAGAGAGAGAGAAAGAGAGAGGAGAGAGACAGGAGAGAGAAAGAAAGAGGGACGGAGAGAAGGAGAAAAGGTGAGAGAGAGATAAGAGAGATAGGAGAGAAGGAGAGAGAAGAAGAGAGAAAGAGAAAGAGATCGTGTGGCCGCGTCTGTGGTGAGAAGAACAGAAAAATATCAGGTGTGGGCAGATATCTGATGCTCCTCAGTCAAATGGGGATTTAAACTGCGTCTCTCTTTCTCTCTTGCTCTTTCTCATTCTTTCTCTCTTTTTCGATCTCGATCTTTTGCTCTCTTCTCTCTCTCTCTCTCTCTCTCTCTCTCTATCAGTATATTACTTTCTATATCTCTTATTTTTCTCTTCCACTGTCTCTCTCTCTTTCTCCTTCTCTCTCTCTTATCACTTATTATTTTTTATATTTTTCTCTCATTCTTATCGTTTTTCTGCTTTTGTTTTTTATTACCCTCTTTATCCTTTTCTCTCTTATTCTTTATCTCCTTGTCACTTACTCTATCTCTAAGTCACTCAGTCAGAGAGAGAGAGAGAGAGAGAGAGAGAGAGAGTTTGTGCGCGTGCGTGCTTGCGTGCGTGCTTGCGTGCATGTGTGTGTCTGTCAGTATCGCCGTCTGTGTGTGTGCGTGTGTACGTGTGCATGTGCATTCGTGGGAGGTGTGCGTAAGCGCCACTAAGGTAGTCAATGTATTTCCATCTGAGAATTCAAATAAAACTGAAGCCAACTACCGCTCCATCTTCGTCACGACTTTTATCTCCACATCGTGGGAGAAAACAAGTAAAACTCTTTTTTTCTGAACTGCGCTTAAAAGAATCCAATCCCTTGTATCATGTCTCGATTAATTAACCCTGTACCTTATGAACGTCACCAGAGCCAAGGGAGTATTGTATATTCATTCACCGGGTTTGTCGAGTTTCTAAAGTATGTAGCAAAACCTCCCATTATTGTTTACGTTTGCAGTATCATTCGCCAAAACCAACACAAGAAGTGAAACTCAATACACTATAGGGGACGTGAGAGAACCCTCCTCCCAACCCTTGCCCGCGGCGGCTGACTAGTGACTTCCTCTTATAATTCCGCACTTGGACGTTCGAATACGCAGCGAAACGGACGGAGTCATTCGATATTTCGAGAACGGTGGCGCAAGGTTCGTAGATAATCGGTACATCTCAAGATCGTAAATAAGTTCTTTCTCTTTTTTTTTTTTGAGGGGAGGAGGGAGTAGGGGCGGCCGAGGTTAATTCCACCAGGCGTTAGGACACAGCGAATGGCCGTCTCTAAAAGGAGTGACGAGCAGAAGGCGAGATGAAGTTATCGCCCCCGTGACGGCCCGGCCCACAACGTGACGCGAAAGATGTGTACCAGATTCATCTTTTAAAAGGAAAAAAACAAACAAAAAAACAAAAACAAAAACAAAAAAAAGGGTAGGAAAGAAGAACAGAAATATGATAAAAACCAGAAGGAGGAATTCCATGTGCAAACGCTCTATATCATGACACTCGTCACTGAACTATTGCATGGCGGTTCGTGTTTTTTAATTTATTATCACCAACTTTCAAGCAACGAATAAAAACCTTTGTTCTCTGCAACGTCATTAGCGTTCGCTAATGACGTAATGACGCTAATGACGCCCCCCCTTCCTTCTTCCCCCTACCGTGGAGTTCCCCCCCAATCGCACAAATCCACCTACTCCCCCTTTCCTTATTTCTTCCACTTCCCCTCTCTCTTCTTCATCACTTCCCTTCCCCTCTCTCCTCCCTTTTCTTTTTCTTATTCATCTCCTTCCCTTCCTCTTACCCTTTCTTTCCCCTCTCCTTTGACCTCCCCCCCCCCCCGCTTCCCTAATAAGCCGGGGGAGGGGAGGGGAACCCCCTTCCTTCTACCACCTCCCCCTACCGCAACCCTTCCCCACCCCTTCCCTTCCCCTTCCCTTTCCTTCCCCTTCCCCTTTTACTCCCCACTCCCCCTACTACTTACCCCCCCCACACCTTCCCCCTTCCACCTACCCCCACCCCTTTCCCCCATCCCTCCCCCTTCCACCTACCCCCACCCCTTCCCCAACCCCATTCATCTACCTCCCCACCCCCTTCCCCTTTCCACCTACCCCCACCCCTTCCCCCTTTCCCCCTTCCATCTACCCCCCTAACCCCTTCTTCCTCTCACCCCCTACCTCAAACCCCCATCCCTTCCCCTTTCCCCCCCACCCTCAACCCCATTCACCTACCCCTCCAACCCCTTCCTCTCACCCCCCCACCCATTTCCCCCCTACCCCTTCCCCCACCCTCAACCCCATCCATCTACCCTCCCAACCCCATCCTCTCACCCTCTACCTCACCCCTACCTCACCCCTACCCCCCCTAACCCCATCCACCTACCCCTCACCCCCTACCTCACCCCTACCCCCCCTAACCCCATCCACCTACTCCTAACCCC